GTCTTGTTTTCCAGTGCAAATGTCTACTTATTAAGACTTACAATTGTGGACATGAAAACCCTGTTTTTATAGAAGTTTTCATCTGCCAATGCACAGCCTCTCCATCACCAAGACTCCTGTCGGGCCTCCTCGCGGCTGCACATGGTAACTGGGGATATTGCATCCCCAGGCTAATCGACAGTGGATCTCGGAGTTGCAGTGGTCCCCAGAGGTGGCAGCCACCAACCACTGTCACACTGCCTAAGGCTGTGTGTGTGAATTTGTATAACAAAATTCTAAAATTCTAAATACGCATCACAAATGTTACTTTTGGGTTATATTTATTTGAGCATAATTTTACAAATTACGGGGGTAATAAAGAACCTTGAAAATTGTCTGTGAAGTTACCTGTCTGAAGATGCTGAAGTTCATTTTCCTGGCACCATTATAAAAATGTTTTAGGAAATTTCCATTTGGTGTTGCTTTAAACTCTATTACACTACTTGATGCAAAATGATTTTGCCTCAAGTGCTTGTCAAACTTTGTGCTCTTATTAATGTATAAGTCATATTAGAAACAAAAATAAAATTAATTCATTTTTAAAGCTGCCTGGTCTGGGTTTTTTTCTACAGTGTGGCACTCATTCTCATTTTTTAGATATTCCTGCATTTTACCTTTAAAAAAACAGCTGGAAACTACTACAAAATCAGTGTGCAAATAAGTGCTTTAAAATAGTTGTTACTCAGTGCCACATATTAGACACTTTACAACTGACAAAATCTAGCTACTGTAAATCCCTGGAAACTAACATTGTTAAAACAGCATGAAACATTGAAAATCCCAATATAAATAAATGGAAAGAAAGTGTAGTTAATATTCTTTATTTAGTTTTTTTTTTCGAAAAAAGCTCTAAAAGCTGCTCTCTCTCCTTTGTCTCCCTGTCTCTTCTGTCCTCTCTCTCTCATTTCTTGGTCCCTTCTTTCTTCTCTTTCCCTGGCCTCTCATTCTCGTCTCTCCTCTTGCTCTCGTCTCTCTTTCTCTTCTTTCCTCCCTTTCCACCATCTCTCTCCATCGCCTCTCCTCCCTTTCAACAGCTTCCATTTCTCTTTCTGCTTCCCTCTCCTCCATCTCATGGATCAGCTCCTCTATTTCCTTCCTCTTCCTCCCTACTCTTTCAGCCGTTGACCTCACTGAGGATGGTGAGGTTACAGCAACATCTGGTCCAGATGAGGCAATAAGGTTGGGTGGTGTGATGGAGGGTCTGCCCCCTATTGCCTCATCCAAGACAACATACCATTTCCAAGATGCAGCTGTAACCTCACCATCCTTGGTGCCACACACTGGCCCAGCTAACCAATCAGCACACACACTGGCCCAGCTAACCGATCACAGCACACGCTGGCCCAGCTAACCGATCACAGCACACACACTGGCCCAGCTAACCGATCACAGCACACACTAGCCAAGCTAGCCAATCACAACACACACTGGCCGGCTAACCAATCACAGCACACACTGGCCCAGCTAACCAATCACAGCACACACTCTGGGCCAGCTAACCAATCACAGCACACACTGGCCCAGCTAACCAATCACAGCACACACTCTGGGCCAGCTAACCAATCACAGCACACACTCTGGCCCAGCTAACCAATCACAGCACACACACTGGCCCAGCTAAACAATCACAGCACATTTAGTATTTCATAAGGCAGACCTTCATTTGCCAGACTGAGGAGAGGTGATGTAATAATGTAAAATATGTGAAAAATAATGTTTTTCGAACAACCTAGTATGAGAGCCTGTTTTAGTACAGCCCCAAAACAAAATCAAGACTTTATCCACAGTCGTAATACACATGAAACAAAAGAGGAAAAAGCATCACACAAGGTGAAAACAGACCAGTCACCAGCAAACACAGAGCATAGAGCAATTCCTCCACAATCCAAAGCTTAGTTAGCCAAGTATAAATACAGATGAGCTAAATGGGAAAATCACACAAAGCTGGAAGCAATGAGTTTGACGTTGTGTGGATGAAAACCATTATGAAGTCTAGGAGACATTGGGTTTTGGTTGCCATACCTGATGACTAAATGTCAGTAATTAACATCAATATGACACTTGCTTAAGACGTTGGATTGGGGTTAGTTAATGCGACAACCTAAAACGAACAAAAGATCAACGTCTAATGATGTTAGAGTTTGACATTGTGTGGACGTTACCATTATGACGTCTAAGAGACATTGGGTTTTGGTCACCCACACAACATCACACGTCCACACAACGTCAAACTCTAACATCATTAGACAGTTATATTTTGCTAGTTTTAGGTTGTGGCAGGTGCCAGGTTATTATAATGGAAGATATGCTGAAGTTGTGTGATACCCTTTTCTGCCCATGTGCATAAGTTGAGTGGCTTGTTCTTAGCTGTAAAATCTGGGTTATTCCAGATCGGTGTGTATTTAGATGGTGCAAGAGGGGAGTTTGTGATTTGATGAAATTTCCACCAGGCTGTCAGATTGCTGCTGCTATTGTCGGCATTTTAAATCAGTGATGCCTTTTGATTGTCTGATTTTAGATGGGTAATTCTGAAGTGTTAATGTCCTTACAAATTGTTCAACATCTAGCCATGTGCTTTCTGATGGGTTAGGGTGAATCCATTTGTGTATATTTTGGAGTTGATTGGCCAGAAAGTAGTGGTAAAAATGTGGTGCTTCCAGTCCTCCTTGTGTTTTTGGAAGAAAATATTACATTTTGGAAGAAATAGTGCAGCACCTTAAATCGTCAACCTGCGAGCTTGACACACTTCCCACATCTTTTTTCAAAAGTGTTAAAACTGTTTAGAAGCAGATCTCTTAGAAGTGGTGAACGCCTCACTTCTTTCTGGGACTTTTCCAAACTCCCTGAAAACGGCAGTTGTTAAGCCCCTTCTGAAAAAGAGCAATCTTGATAACACCATATTGAGCAACTATAGACCAATATCAAATCTTCCTTTTATAGGAAAGATTATTGAAAAGGTAGTCTTTAATCAGCTGAACTACTACTTAAACTCAAATGGATACCTGGACCATTTTCAATCTGGTTTTCGACCGCATCACAGCACAGAGACAGCACTCATTAAGATGATAAATGATATTCGCTTATATTCTGAATCTGGCAAAATATCAGTGCTGGTACTACTAGATCTCAGTGCTGCGTTTGATACTGTCGATCATAACATACTACTAGAGAGACTGGAAAACTTGGTTGGGCTTTCTGGCATGGTAATTAAATGGTTCAGGTCATACTTAGAAGGGAGAGGTTATTATGTGAGAATAGGAGAGCATAAGTCTCAGTGGACGTCCATGACATGCGGAGTCCCACAAGGCTCAATTCTTGCACCGCTCTTGTTTAGCCTGTATATGCTCCCACTAAGTCAAATAATGAGAAAGAACCAAATTGCATATCACTGCTATGCTGATGATATCCAGATTTACCTAGTCTTATCTCCAAATGACTACAGCCCCATTGACTCCCTCTGCCAATGCATTGATGAAATTAACAGTTGGATGTGCGAGAACTTCCTTCAGTTAAACAAGGAAAAAACTGAAGTCATTGCATTTGGAAACAAAGATGAAGTTCTCAAGGTGAATGCATACCTTGACTCTAGGGGTCTAACAACTAAAAATCAAGTCAGGAATCTTGGTGTGATTCTGGAGACAGACCTTAGTTTCAGTAGTCATGTCAAAGCTGTAACTAAATCAGCATACTATCATCTCAAAAACATTGCAAGAATTAGAGGTTTTGTTTCCAGTCAAGACTTGGAGAAACTTGTTCATGCCTTTATCACCAGCAGGGTGGACTATTGTAATGGTCTCCTCACCGGCCTTCCCAAGAAGACCATTAGACAGCTGCAGCTCATCCAGAACGCTGCTGCCAGAATTCTGACTAGAACCAGAAAATCTGAGCATATCACACCAGTCCTCAGGTCCTTACACTGGCTTCCAGTTATATTTAGGATTGATTTTAAAGTACTTTTACTCGTTTATAAATCACTCAATGGCCTAGGACCTAAATATATAGCAGATATGCTCACTGAATATAAACCTAACAGATCATTAGGATCGAGTCAGTTAGAAATACCAAGGCTTCACACAAAACAAGGAGAGTCCGCTTTTAGTTATTATGCCACCCGCAGTTGGACTCAGCTTCCAGAAGAGTTCAGATGTGCTAAAACATTAGCCACATTTAAATCCAGATTCAAAACTCATCTGTTTAGCTGTGCATTTATTGAATAAGCACTGTGCTACGTGAAAGGTTATAAGGTTTCTCTTCACTGTGATATCTCTAGTGCACTTTATCCCACAATCAAAACACATATGACCTTTCACATCTTTGTCTTTTTCTTGTGTCATTTTAAAAGACACTAGGACACTCAGAAGCAAAGACCAGGAGATCCGGGCGTATCTTCAGCAGGATTCTTTATTGAAAATGTGATGCACTGTATTTTATAGGCAGTTAAACTTACACACAGCCTCAGAAGTGACTCCTTAAACAAAGCATCGAAAGACAATACAAAAAATTGCTCTAGCAAACCTAGTCCCTAAAGATAATAGCACCCCGAATGGTTTAAACAAGAGAGCTAGAGGCATTTAAACGTTCACACATAGTTTGACTCTCGCTGGAAACTATTGAATCTAATCACTAAACTTCATCATGTTGAAGGACCATGTTTTCATGTGACGTTAAATCAAGACACAAGATCAGTGAATCTTAAACTCATTCTTACATCTCTTTTCCCACAACACCCAGCCATAAAACAATAGTGAGGCTTGTCCTTTGTACAAACTTCCCCACGTTTCTTCAGGTATAATGCTCGTTCTTTCACTGCATTGATCAGTTAAATGGATGTTGTCCACAGTGAGAATGCAGATGTAACTTAAGAGTGTGAAGCATGTGGCTTGTCTCTATTGTGGATTTTCATGTGTCCCTTAAGGTGGTGTTTTTTTACAAAACTCTTCCCACATTGATCACATGTGTGCGGCTTCTCTCCGCTGTGGATCATCATATGTGTCTTCAGGTTTGATTTTTGTGCAAACCTCTTCCCGCACTGATCACACGTGTGCGGTTTCTCTCCAGTGTGGATCCTCATGTGCACCTTAAGGTTTACGTTGAATGTAAAACTGGTCCCACATTGATCACAGGAGTACGGCTTCTCTCCGGTGTGTGTTTTCATGTGAATCTTAAGGTTTCCTTTTTGTGCAAAACTCTTCCCGCACTGATCACACGTGTGCGGCTTTTCTCCCGTGTGGAGCTTCTCGTGTATTTTCAGATATCCTGGCCAATCAAATCTCTGGTCACAGTGTGAACACTTGTAAGGCTTGCCTCCAGTGTGAACTGTCTGGTGCTTTCTCAGGTCACCGGCAGTAAAAAAGGTCTTCCCACAATCAAAGCACATGTGATCCTTCACACCACGGTGTCTTTTCTGGTGTTCTTTTAAGCCACTCCGCACACTAAAACTCTTTCCACACAAAGAACACATGTGAGGCTTTTCTTTTGTGTGAATGTTCAGGTGGACCCTTAGGCCTGAAGCTGATGTAAAAGTTTTCCAGCACTGGTCACAGTAAAATGGTCGTTCTCCAGAATGCGAACGCAGATGTATTTTAAGCGTGCCCGCATCTGTAAAACTCTTCCCGCACTGATCACATGGGTACGGCTTCGCTCCAGTGTGGATCTTCATGTGAACATTAAGGGCTCCTTTTTGTGCAAAACTCTGTCCACATTGATCACACGCGTGTGGCTTCTCTCCCGTGTGGATTCTCTTGTGTACCGTAAGGTGTGCTTTTCGTGCAAAACTGTTCCCGCACTGATCACATGTGTGCGGTTTCTCTCCAGTGTGGAT